AACCGGTTTTTAGGTGTTGCGCGTGCTGGATTAATAAATACAACTGAACAGATTGCAGACGATGGGCCAACAAGAGACGAGTCTTTTTATTCAGTCGACCTGTTTAAGACATTCCGTGACTATGAGCACATTAAACAAATCAAATCTTCAACTGCAAAGAAACCCAAATAACTTAACCAGAATATGATTTTGACATTTTCTTCAGAACCAGATTTGACGTCTGCACACTGTCTGTCCTAGGACTCTGTCCACTGAATCATAGTGGGGTTGCCTCTATTCCGGGGGTAACTTCCCAGCCTCCGCAGGGTCTCGTCCCTGATAACAGGGTGCAGAACGTGAATGCGCCGATGACATTAAGATGGGACTGAGCATTCTTCCACCAGAAGTAAATAGCAGCCCCTGATCAGTTAATCAACCCTGTTTATTCGACAAAACACTATAATAAGACACTATGCAGATAACAACGTAAGTTTTCTCAATCTGTAATTCTAAACGAAATTTCCGTCCTCTTAAACGCAACTTACCTTGCATTTTAAACCTTCATGCGTTCTGAATCCTATCAGTTTTACAAACGCGATGCTACTGTAAATACCTTATATTTACTTCTACGCGACTTTTCTCGTGTCGTCCGCGGTGCTTATCTCAGCATGCCCCACGCAGACGTTACCTCGGCACCAGAGGGAAATGCGTGGCTAACTTCACGTTCCGCCCGTCTTATTCCCGGTGAAGCTAACTGGATAGGTCCCAGTGCCTATCCGGAGGCCACGCCGAGCAGAAAAGTCGAGCCTTGACGGAAATCTAACCTTGGCCTTCCCAGTGATGACGTGGCTAACCAAGTGACCTCGCCATGTACAACTTTCATGTTCTGTACATGTCCTCATGATTTCAGAGACTCAAACCCATACAGGAGAAAGTCGGTTCTAGAACAAAGGTCACCCCTTCCTGAGGTACTTCATTCAGCTGTACTAAAGTCGAAGTATCATATCGTCATCAGGTACAAAATGCAGATTAGGAGTTAAGAATACGGAAAGCCATATTTATGAATTCTAAATGAAATCTTTCTGAGCAATTCTTTATTATGAAAACAAACAGAAGAAAGTATTTTGGCCACAACTGGTATTAGATTTCAACGGCTCAGCTAGCAGTGATTTGAGTGCAATCGACGTTTCTGGGGTTTATTCGGCTTCGAGGACAAAGGGACAACGGAGCTAGCACTCAGCAGCGTCGCTGTGAGGCACGATACGTCTATTGCATCTGTTGCCCGCTCTCGGAACTATTATAAACGTAGGTTTACGTCTGTATACAGTCGGTAGAAATTGTGGCGGCACAAATCACTACTCAGCTTGTGTTAATGCTCGAGGCGTCTCTCGTCAAGCGCGAGAATAAGTTTCTTGAATACACATGACCCGCCTCCTAAATTTCTCGTACTGTCATTACATTCATGTTCATTGACTACTGCAAACGAGATGTGATTCAAAGTCAGGCTTTCATAACAACCGACAGGTTTTTTTTAAATTTAAATTAATTATATTTAGCTTAACGGCTCTACCCTTTAAGTTTTTCAACGAAAACTATGTAAATATTTCTCATCGTTTCCATGCGTACTGCAAGGCCCCCCCCCCACCTCATCCCCTTGACTTCATCATCTTATATTTCATGACGACTAAAAATTGTAATTTCCTCCAGCCTTCCGTGACTTTGTTCCTGTTGGATCCAAATATTCTCAAACGCCTCTAATCTGTGCTCCCCCCCTTAACCTGAGACACCAGGTTCGACGCTTGTACAAAAAAAAGAACAATTAAATTATAGATTTATACATTTTAGTTTTCAAGGTTTTAGAAAGCTGATAAGAGGACAAAGGTTTATGAAATGCAGGGTAGGAGACTTTATCTAAATTTAGACTGGTCTTAATTTTCTCGCGAATGCAATTCTGATATCTTAACGATGTTCCTGAATATGTCAACTATTCCACGTTTTCAAAGGATATCTTAGCTGCGTGATTTTCTTTATCACGTCTGAACTTAAACGTCAGCCAAATCCGATGAAGAGATCAGGAGTTGAAAGAGATAATTCTGACTCACAGGCAAAGATGGAAGGACGGACGAACGGACACAGAAGGCGAGCCTCGTCGTCAAGACGCCATCCGTTCTCGTCTGTCACTACACCTATCGATATTAGACGCGAGCAATTGCACCTATAGACAAATATTCTGTGCTGGGAAGAGTCTGAGACAAAACTCCGCCTCGGGAGAAGAAACGCAGAGGACTTACAACAAAGTTTTGCGTGCAGAGAGAACGAGAGGTCGCACACGTGGTCGACAGAATTCACTGGGCACAAACGGCGTTCTCCTCTCTTGTGTGTAACAACTGCACCCACTTTCAGCCGTCATGCTGTCACGACGTATTACCGTCATCAAATTAGTCGCCACTGAATTTCAACCTGCAGTGCCGCCAACCTTTACCACATTGATTACCCTTCTGATATAAACATAAATTGTTGAAGACGGCTACATTCCTCAGTCTGCTGGGAAATTCTTTCAGATTCACTATTGTGCCTTCAAAGCTGCATTCCAAGAGCACGGAAGAAGGAACAGTGCCATTGGACAGCCCCGACCTTCACGCAGACAAACGGCTCCTTAGTGGGTCAGAAGTAATGCACTCGATAACGGAAAGCGGCGATCGTCCCACTTCTACGCTAGAAAGCGACAAATTATCACGCGGATAATTTACTTGGTCATCTTACTAAAGACTGTATGAACTCTTTTAACAATTCTTTTGCACATTTTGGACCTTTCCTCATCCGTGCAGTGTTCGACCGCGTAATATTCTACATATAAAAAGTCCGAAAGTCACGCATCCTATTCTTGAGGCATGATCTGTTTGTAAAAAATAAGATTACACTGAAATCAGAAAACCATGAAAACTTCCTGTGACACGGAAATGCTTCACCAGTCGAGATATTGTCGACTTGTTTGCCACAGGAGAATCGGGAAACGCATTTCAAAACTCATTCTGGCAAGAGTCAAGTAAGAATGAGGTGCCAGGCGGCGTTCGACAATGAACACCCGTTGCACTTGTTAAAAAGACGCCCTCGTACTTCTGCTGTTGAAAGACAACCGACGGACTGGCGCGAGCGGGTTACAACATGACGCGACCTTCGAGGACTCTTGTATAATTGCGTTAATCTAATCGAAATATATTGAACTGCAGCCATCAGTGAATATTTTAATATGTGTTGCTCCATCTTTCCATAGCCATGGTTCCTGTTTCCTAATCAGAGGCGTCAGTCAGCTGCCAGACAAGGGTTAACACACGAATCACGCCATTTTAAATTACGTTTAATTAAGGTAGCATTTTTTTTTCGAAAATCTGCGAGCACACGAAGTTTCTTCGTCATGAAACAGCTCCGTCGACGTTGGTAAACCTGACAGCGAGGAGTTAAAAGCCACGAAGGAAGGACCGCACTGGGATGACATTCCGAAGAGATTCGGTAGCTGATGAAGGCACACACCCGGAGAGGGCGACACAGCAGGTCTACAAGGATTCTACTGCAGCAGTAGGACGGGGAGGTGCAACACCGTTAATTCTAAAGTCCGCCATTGGACATGATCAGGAACCAGTTCTATTCACCTTCCGTCTTCACAATCCATGTCTGTGTTGTCATCAACTCGTTCTCGGTCCCGCAATCTTGAGAATCTCCCTTCTGTGGCCCCTGCATGTCGCTCCACTATCCACACTAGCTGATGTGTATGGATAACGACGTTTCGGCCATTCTGCTTCCCGGAGCACGCTCTCCTCAATCGACCAGTAGAACATGAGACAGCGTTTCGTACAATTTTTACAACGAAACCAATGGCTAATTGTGCTGCGTCTCACGGCAGGCAGGCCAGATTAGCCGACGAGGAGCGAAGGACTGCGAGACGTGGTGTCCCCTCTCCTGGTGAACCCTTTGATGCCAAATCTACTCTGAATACTTAAAAGTTGAGTCCGCAACTCTGAAGGAAAGAGTACACTTGTCCTCTACAAGGTCGACTGGTCAACACCATTTAAGGAATTAACAGCTGCTTATTCTGGGAATCAAACGAAACCCCGCGTAGTCAGAACGCGGGGTTAAACTACGTGAACCACGACCTAAGGTTAACCCTATCAGGCAGCAGCAGATTTGAATGTCTATTAAATGAACCCCCATCACAGCATCAAAATTCCCAAGCCGCGATCAGGAACCGTCCCACTAGAAGATTTTAATGAAATTCGATTCAGAACGTGAAAGCGCAACAACTCTCAGTTTTACCAACATTACAGTTCACTTCTGTATGTAGCACAATCTTCACTTTCGGTAAAAGTTGTACACACCTGAAAATCTAACAGTCATTTTCGGACGTGACACAAAGACAATGACGGGCCGAAGCGTGTTGCTCCTTGGAGAACTCTGAATGGCTCTTGTAACATCTGCCAGAAGAACAAACTCGGCCTATATTTCTAGCAACACTTAAATTACTGAAAAGACGCAAATCGCCAGAAATTCGAATAAAATTAATTTAAGTTTGAGAGAAACTATTATAATTCTTAGAAACCTGTATTCCTTCCTGACGTTTCATTAACACGCGGCTGAAACTGGATTTTCATTTCAGTCTCGGGTTCAAATCTCTACTTAGTGACCGCTGGAACTAAAAAAGAGTTTCGTTGTTTTCTTCAGTCCCTTCAGGCAAATGTCGTGATGGTACCTCAAGCTAGACTGCGACCACTTCGTTTCCAGCACAGAAAAAAAGTAAAGCTGTCCACTATACGCCACGTAGGCACTTGGGGGGAGAGGCAGTATTGTTCCTACTCATTGAGTGGTGAGCATCACGCCCCGGCCGGCTTCACCCCCGGGAAAGGAACCCAGTACCCATTGGATAGGAGGCTGGGTGGACGCGGAGGCTGGAGGAAAATTTTTCTGTCCCCGTCGGGGATCGAACCCCGGTCGTCCAGTTCACTTATACTTACTCTTGGTCTTTTCAGACAGGCGTTTGAAATGGCACCGAACCTAACCACAGCAACTGCACTCTTTCTGGCGGAGACGGAGGGCTCTGTGGTGTACCAAACCAAGTCTCAAAAGCCAGCGTCGGTAGCTCGGTCGAGATCGGCGCTTCAGAAGGATCAAGTGGAGGCAGACGAGCCCGCGAAGCAGTACAAGTGGAACATACGTTGGAGGAACGTGATCGCGTTCCTTTATCTCCACATATTCAGTCTGTACGGGCTGTACCTCACATTCACAGCCGCGAAGTTTCAGACCATCATCTGGAGTAAGTGCAGTCAAACACTGAACAACCTTTTGAACTGAACGCAACAAAATCATAGGAAAAAGCGCCCAGCTCATGGGCCCTCGCGCGGCGCACCCTGGGCGGGAATCGTCTCCGAGGAGGCACAGTCCACAGTAACAAAACGATTTCAAACCCGTTAAAAAAATCAGATGATCCTCCGTGCATTATTTGTTGATCATATTCGGGTGAAATAGCGAGAAACGTCAATTTTAACCTTCAGGATGTGACCCCGACCGACTCACTTTCTTCACAGAGTTCAGATAACCCGGATTTTTTAAAGGCGGGTTCTTTAAAATTACATTTGCAAGGCTGTTCATTGCATGTCAATTGTTACAATTTCCAGGATAAGGAAACGCTGCTACCAATATTTACGTTTACTTGTTTCATTGAAATGCACACGTCTGTCTTTGTGTGCCAACAGCCTACGCGTTCCTGTCTGCTGCAGGGCTCGGGGTGACGGCGGGCGCCCACAGACTCTGGTGCCACCGCTCCTACAAGGCCAAGTGGCCACTGCGCCTTCTCCTGTGTATCTTCCAGACGGCCGCATTTCAGGTATTACGTAAAAGTAGTAAAGCTGCCCCGTTACACGCCCCGGCCGCCCTTTAAGGACCCCGGTACCCATTGTAGAGGAGGCTGGATGGGCCCCAGAGCCGGTCTGGACGCAGAAGCTGGTGGAAAAATCCTCTGTCCCCGTCGCGGATCGAACACCGGTCGTCCAGCCCAATAGCCAGTCACTATACTGACTGAGCTACACGGCGCACTTGTGAGCCCGTTTAGTCCGGTGGAATTTTGCCGACATTTCAGAAATTCTTCCTGCCCGCATCATTTAAGCACCTCCGAAGTGTTGGCAAACTACTACCAGACTACACGGCGCTACAACCCAGAAGACAGCCATCTTCGTACTCACCGCCGTAAGAACCCATACCCCGTGCACGAGTGACGGTGTGCCCATGCGTATCCCCCCCCCTCCCTATTCCTGAATGGAAGACGTTGGTCTTCCGAATCAGGGCCCCGTCCAATCAAGAATCCAGAGGTGCGTTTCCTCGAGTAGGCTTATGGCCCAAGATGGTCGGACTAAGCAACTCACTCATGGTAGTTCATTACGATAATCTGCATTTGTCTAGCGTTCATGAATGGCTTCTGAAGTAGATCACAATACTTTCTACCGGGGTGGTTTCATCACAGCGACAATAAACAACGAGCAATTAATCATCTCATGCTGTTTCAAGGTCAAATGTAAAACGACGCCTTTCCCTGAGCACCTACTTTCATTTTGCCTCATGACGCGCATAACCGCCAGTATAATACCGTGTTTTATTGTTAAGTGTGTCAACAAAACGGTTCGTCATCGCTTTCAAATGCACAATAGCTGACTGAGGACTGATCGGCAAAGAGTTCCCAGCGAAATCTACGACACACGCGGTCGAGTGATTACTCAGCAGTCCTGCTTCGTTTTAGGGAGGCCTGGTTCAAGTCTCGGTGCAGGGGACAGGCTATCCTAACGACTTTCTTCCTCAGAGTCTGCAGGCTAATACCAGAATAACACCTTGAATTAGCTGCGGAATAGCGACACATTTCAAACACGAGACAGTTCCGTAATTCACTTTCTGCTTCTACAACACCGTCGAGGCTTTGGAGTTCTTTTTCATATTCCGTGTTTCATTAATGAACGTACGTCAATTAGTCTTTTTCCCGGAACACATCGTTTCAATTATTTTTAATTTCATATGTTTATTTCATTACACATATACAAGACAAACTCCACGTGTCCGTTGCTCAGCTCCTCAAGATAATGTAACATGTCACGGAATGCGAAGGTCCACTGCCATGTTCACAAGAACCCGTAAATAGAGCAGCAGTTACCAAATCGCATGTTTCAAGGTCACAACAAAATCACGCAACGCGAACACCGGAGCCAAGGCTAGTGAGGACAGCTCGCAACTCGCAGCACAGCGAAGCTACCAACACCACTGGACTGTCGTCTTAGGGCCGCGCGGCAAAGGGGTTAAGTCCTTCCGTGGCCTTGAAGCATCGAATTTAGTGACGGCTGCTACAGTCTTTGTCATAAGCGAGATTGTTAAGTCCACAGAATTGTAAAGTATTTCTTTGATAACTATTTTAAAATTATCATCACATCTACCCTTTCTGGTTTTCTGACTAAAATGTTGCGCATGTTTCTGATCTTTCCCTCGACTAAAGTCGATCTATTTGAATCACCCCCGATCTATTCCAGAATCACATTTATGAGTGGGTCCGCGACCACCGCGCACACCACAAGTTCACCGACACGGACGCCGACCCGCACAACTCGACGCGGGGTTTCTTCTTTTGTCATATCGGCTGGCTCATGGTGAGGAAGCACCCGGACGTCAAGGCAAAAGGCAAGACCATCGACATGACCGACCTGGACAGCGACCCCATCGTCGTCTGGCAACGCAGGTAAAAACACCCTGCAGACAAGACAGGCCTACGTACCAGTGAATGAGAATGATTTAAATTTGTATTATCCACGAGACAAGAGTCCACCGCGGCTCAAATGCATTCTTTGCACCCAGTCCCTTGTTACACCCTCGCATTCACTCCGTACGAGGTGCGATCGGAAAGTTTCAAGACTGTGTCAATAGAGGGCGAACCGGATGTAGTACGAGCTTCTGCCGCTAGGGGGTGCGGCCTACATTCATAGTGAATCAGTGTGCCAGCCGGCATCATCGAATTAGCATTTGTTTCTTAGTTACGGGCGTTTTGGTAGTGCATTACACCGACCCTCCTGCGATTTCGGAATGGCGGGTGCATCAAATTTTGCCAAAGACTCGCCAAAACGGCTACGGAAACCTATGAAATGCTAAAGCAAGCATTTGGGGAAATACTTCGAAATGGGTCGTGCACAAACTTTTGTGAGGCATTC